TCTACGACGGCCCAAGAGAGGCCCCTGAGGGCTCCAAAAGGTCCCGAAGAGAACCCCGAGAGGGCCACGTGAGGTCCCCAAGAGGGCCCCAGAGGGCCCGAGAGGGCCCCAAGACGGCCCAAGCCCACCAAGACGGCTCAAGAGGGCCCACGATTTCCTTTTCTGGGACGGCGCCGGCGATTGCGGCGGCGGGCGGCGGCGGCGGGGAGCGTCAACGAGGATGACGGTGGTGGTGGTGGTGGTGGTGGTGGTGGTGGTGGTGGTGGTGGTGGTGGTGGTGGTGGTGGGGGGTTGTGGAGGTGATGATGGCGGTGGTGGTGGTGGTTGTGGTGGTGGTGGTGTGGTGGTTTGTTGTTGTGGTGGTGGTGCTGGTGGGTGGTGGGTGGTGCTGGTGGTGGTGGAGGTGGATTGGTGATGGTGTGGTGGTGGTTTGTGGTGGTGACGGTGGTGGTGGTGGTGGGTTGTGGTGGTGGTGGTAGTTTTGTGGTGGTGTGGTGGTGGTTTGTGGTGGTGGTGGTGGTGGTGGGTTGTGATGGTGGCGTTGGTTTGTGGAGGTGGTGCTGGTGGTGGTGGTGGTGGCGGTGGTGGTGGTGTTTGTTGTGGTGGTGGTGGGTTGTGCTGCTGGTAGTGGTGTTGGTGGTGGCGGTGTTGGTGGTGGTGGTGTGGTAGATTGTGGTGGTGGTGGTGGTAGTGGTGGTGGGTTTTTGTGGTGGTGGTGGTGGTGGTGGTGGTGGTGATGGTGAGTTGTGGTGGTGGTGGTGGTGGTGGCTGTGGTGGTGGTGGTCGTGGTGGCTGTGGTGGTGGTGGTGGTGGTGGTGGTGGTGGTGGTGGTGGTTGTGTGGTGGGTTTGCGGTGGTGTTGGTGGGTTGAGGGTGTGGTGGTGTTGGTAGTGGCGGTGGTGGTGGTACTGGTGGTAATCGTCGCTGCGTCCCCGCCGTCGCTGGCGCCAGTGCCGGCGCTGCTGGCCGCCGCCAGCGCCAACGGGGGGGGCGTTGAATCCCCCCCCTCCCTTTGGGCTGCCTCTGGTCATCGTCGCTGCATCCCCGCCGTCGGCGCTGCTTGCGGCTGCCAGGGCCGGCGCCGTCCCTGGCGCCAGGGGGGGTAGTGGGGGGTTTGAACCCCCTCCCCTGGGGCTGCCTCTGGTCATTGTCGTTGCATCCCCGCCGTCGGTGCTGCTTGCGGCCGCCAGCGCCGGCGCCGGCGCTGGCGCCGAGGGGGGGGGGGTTCATCCCCTCCCCCCTTGGGAGGGGGGGGGGTGTGGGAGGGGGGGGAATTTGGGTGGGAGGGGAGTCCCCCTGGTTTTGATCGACGGCGCCGAGTGTTGGGGGGGCCCACCCTTTGGTTCGAAACGCGACGCCGAACGTTCCCAAGGCAAGCGCCCGTGAAACGCCCTCTTTCCAAGGTCTTAAAGGCCAAGGGGGCTCCAAGACACCGAGCAAGCGATCTCGCGCCTTCACAGGTCACGGGCACTTTCCGTCCCCGTGCCAAGCAGGTCGAATGGCTTTCAGCCCATCCCGCCACCGTGCCTGGGTTGTAGGTCGAAGGCCTCCTGGATGTTCGATCGGATCTCGTCGAGGCCTCTCGGGGGCCTCCTAGAGACAGTTTTGAAGCCTTGGGGAGCTGTTTTGGGGCCTCTTAGGGGCATCTTTTGGGTTTCGTGGGGGCCTCGTGGGGGCCGCTTGGGGCGGAAGGCTCGGATTTGTAGGTCGTGTTCCCCCCCTTGGGCCCCTTGTCGAGCCATCGTGGGGCCTTCTTTGGGGCCTTGTTGGGCCGCCCTGGACGCGCCGCCTGGAGTCCCTCTCGGGCAGTCGTGGGGCCCTCTTGGAAGCCTCTGGGGTCCGTGTTGGGGCGGTCTTGGGGACCTTGGGACGTCTAGCGTCCCAAGCTCGAAAAGTGGATCACCCACACAACATTGTAAAACTTAATGAGGGTCAGTGATTTTGGCCGCTCGGGGCCCTCTTGGGAGGGCTCTTGGGGCTCTTCCTGGGGAGTCTCGAAGGCTTCTTGGGCCGTCTTTGGGCCATCTTGGGCGTCTTGGACCGATCGTGCAGCGATTCGGGGCACCCTTGGACCGTCTGGGCGGCCTCTTGGGCCCTCTTGGCCCCGTGTTTGGGCCCTCTTGGCCCCGGAGAAGTCGTGCGGGAACGCTCGACGGGTCCCAGCGCCGAGGCCCTAAGAGATTTGAGAGTTAGGGCTTGAGGACTGAGGCCGAAGGGATGAGGCCAAGGACCCGGGGACACTCCAGCTCGTGCCTCAGGGCACGGTGGCAGATATTGAGAGTGGATTTGCACAGGTCTGCACGGGTGCAGCCGTTCCCTGAGACCCGACCGTGGTGAAAATAGACGACGTCGCGACATGTCCAGAGCTCTCGTCCGCGCCTTCTTACACGCCTGCGATCTCGGGTCGGACCCCTCCGCGAGGGCCCCGTGGAATGAGAGGCAGGTGCGCCCGTGCTCATTCGCGACGCCTGGACCGACGTGCGAGTGAATGCGACGCGGGGGCGGGCGGGTGATCCGCCATATCCCCTCTTCCTCGTCAACCCCCACCTCTCCTCCTCCCCCCCTCCCCCGCTCCTCTCCTCGGCATGCTCCTCCCTGTCCTGCTCCTCCTCCTCCTCCTGTCCCTCCTCCTGTCCCTCATCCTGATGGCCACCATCCTCTCCCGCTGCCCGTCCGCCTCCTGGCCACTCCTGGCCTCGGGTCCAGATGGGGGCTATGGAGCTCATGCTCCGAGAGCTCGAGCCAGACGCGGGCCCCTTCTTTCAAAGTCTGACGCCTCCGGTGGCTGAAACTGCGATGTCGGCGACGGCGACCGCGACTGTGGCAGCGGCGTGAACCCTGAGGTCCTGGCGTCGCATGTTTGTTTCAAAACGGGCGGTTTTGCATTGTTTCGGGCTCAGGTCCCTCACGGATCGATCTGGCTTGAAAAGTGCTGCAGAAAGATGGGATCCAGGGATTTGGCAAAGTGTTTTCCTTCAGGACGTTGCAATTCTTTCGTGACGCCTCATCTCAAGAAACCGCGACGACGGCGGCGGCGACGACGACTCTGACAGCCGCGGCAGCGGCGGGGATGCCGACGGCTTGCTAGAGGTGCTAAAGGTGCCCCTGCCGCTAGCGTTTCGCTTGATTTTGGAGCCCCTGGGGCCCTCTGGGCCTCGTGAATGGTTCTCTGGAGGCCTCTGGGGGCCTCCGTGGAAATCCTTAGGGCACCTTGGGCTAGGGGCACTTCTATCTGCGGCGAGCGAGTGGGGGAGCTGAGAAGGAGAAGGCCTTTCAGAAGGCGGCAGGACTTCTCAGAAGCCCTCGTGCCGTCTGAGAGGTCTTTGCTGTCTTCGGGGAAGGCTCCGAGAAAACTTTTCACAAGGGCGGGGCCTTCCGAGCCTTCCTTATGGGAAGGCTTTCTCCTTCTCTTTCATTTCCCCCCCCCCAGGCTGGCCGCCGATTCTAGCCCCCCCCTTGAGACCTCCTAGATGGGGTCGGAATAGACGGGGTCGGAGGATCGCGCCGCATCGCTCCTCGGCGATGCATCGGCTATGCATCGTCGGCGTCGGCGATGCATCGGCGACGCCGACATGGGGAACAACGGGCTTCACATCGAGCCGCATCGCCGATGCATCGGCGATGCGTCGCGTCCTCCGACCCCATCTGCTCGAGCCCGTCTGGGAGGCCCAGACCCCCTCGGCCCACTTCAGAGTGGCCCCGAGGACAGGCGACTGGGCTGCCTGCGCCAGGAGGCGGGCCCGCTCCCCGGGATCCCGGGATGGGGGGGGGGGACGGCGTGGTGGCTCCCGATCTCGGCCGCCCTTTGGCCGGCCCGGCGGCGCGCCTCAGGGGAAGAGGGCGAGAAACAGGAGCAGGACGAGGAGGGCGAGGAGGAGGGAGGGGGAGGGGGAGGGAGGGGGAGGAGGCGGAGGAGGAGGAGGAGGAGGAGGAGTAGAGGAGGAGGAGGAGGAGGAGAAGGAGAAGGCGGAGGAGGTCGAGGAGGTTGTGGAGGAGCAGCAGGAGGAGGAGGAGGGGAGGAGGAGGAGGAGGAGGAGGAGGGGTGGGGGGGAGGCGGAGATGAGAAGACGGGATGGCCAGCGCCCCGTGTCCCCCCCCGAAGGCCCCCCCACACCATCCTGGGGTGCGTGAGACCGTCCGTCTTCGTATCCCCTGGCGACAGCGGGCGTTGCCCGGGGGGGAGAGAGAAGGGGATCGTGGGGTGCTTCAGACCGTTCTCTTACGGTAGGTTTGCGTCGTGTCGACCAGCGGCGACCCCAGCGCGGGCGTTCAAGGTTGAACGCCGCCGGCGACCCAGAATCGATCGATATTGAACTCCTCCTCCTCCTCCTCCTCCCTCCTCCTCCTCCTCCTCCTCCTCCTCCTCCTCCTCCTCCCCCTCCTCCTCCTCCGCCTCCTCCTCCTCCTCCTCGGATCGTGGGGTGCTTCAGACCGTTCTCTTATCCCCTGGCGATGACGGGCGTGACCTGGAGGGAGAGTGAGGCGGGGGCCGGTCGTCACGTCGCGATCGGCGCCGGCGCCGCCCGGGAGAAGGAGTCAGAGTGGCCACTTTCCAGACGGCGCCGGCGCGAATCGGGGCGTGTCCAGGAGGTGCGGGGGAGGGGGGGGCCGGGCAGGGCCAGTCACGGGCCTTACCTTATGGTGTTCCAACCTACTTGAGCCTTGATCACCAGAAAGAATTTCGAGCACCAGCAAAAAATCCAAAAACGCAAGGGGTTTCATGTGTCGGACCCTGGGAGACACTCGCCCGACACTGTTTCGACACTCTTTCGACACTCTTTCGACACTTTTCTGGGTGCTCGAAATTATTTCTGGGATGTGGTCCTTAAGCGCGATGGGAACAACATAAGCCTTACCGCGAATTCTGATAAGTTCGGCTCTGCGTTCTGACCGCGCGGTCGATGCGGATCCAGCCTTGGCGATGGCGGCACCCTCCCCGGATGCGCACAGGGGGCGGACGAAGGCCAGAAACCTGCGAGCCCCGAGCCCGGACCCGAGACTCGAAGAAGAACAAACGGCATAAAGATAAATGTTCGACGGGCCCGCGCGGATGTCTTGGATCCGCGTTATGGCCCCCCTGGCGGCGCCTCCAGCGCCGCCCCTGGCGCGCTCCGCGCGCCAGGGAGGGGGGCCTGGCGCGGATCCAAGAAATCCGCACGGACCGTCGAAAGTTTATGTTTATGTAGTTTTTTCTTTTTCTAAAGAAGTGTCTTGATTTTTTCGCAAGGTGGACCCCCGAGGTTCTAGACCCCATCCCCAGGAGCCTCTTCTCGTTTCGAGCCGTGTTTTGACAGTCCCGGGGCTGCGGAGGTCTTTGGGAGGTTCGAGCCTCCGACCCCCCCGCGCTCAGGCCAACGGACCTCGGTTCTCGAAGCTCGAACCTCGACAATCAAACCTTCTCCGCCGGGCAGCACCAGCAGCACCAGCAGCAGGCGGGTTGTGCACGGTCGCCGCTCTTCGAATGGCGGCAGCGGGTTGCTGTCCTTTTGGGGCGAGCCTCTGCTGTGCTCGTCTCCTCCGCTAATTACCGCACCAGCGTCCCGATACTGGATCGCGGATGCGCCGCTCCCTGTACAGGATGATGATGATGATGATGATGATGATGATGATGATGATGATGATGATGATGATGATGAGGAGGATGCTGATGATGATCATGATGATGATGATGATGAGGAGGATGCTGATGATGAGGAGGATGATGATGATGATGATGATGATGATGATGATGATGATGATGAGGATGAGGATGAGGATGAGGATGAGGATGAGGATGAGGATGAGGATGAGGATGAGATGATGATGATGGATGATGATGAGATGATGATGAGATGATGAGGCGGAGAAGGAGGAGGAGGAGGAGGAGGAGGAGGAGGAGGAGGAGGAGGAGGAGGAGGAGGGAGGGGGAGGAGGAGAAGGAGGAGGAGGAGGAGGAGGAGGAGGTCGCGTCGAAGCCTGTCAGAGGAGTCCACAGCAGCAGGCGGGGCGGCCGCCCCCACTCGGCTGCACGCAAGATGGACCCCCGCGCCCAGGTGGAGCGCTTGCAGGCGCTCGTCGACGGCCCCGAGGAGCCCTTGCCCGCCGCCGCGGGCCCTGAGCCCCTCGAGCCCAGCGCCTCGCACGGGGCTCGGCACGTGCGCGCCCGCGCGCGCGGCGCCCGGAGGCGCAGGCGTAAGTCGGGCATGCCTTTCCGCAGGAGGAGTATTCAGGAATATAGTTTGGCCATAATATGGTGACGATTTTCTGGTATGGTTGAATAATTTCTTCTTCATGGTTAGCATCTTATACCTAATTATTATATGACTTATTGCTAGTAATCCGAGTGAGGGGCCGAACGGTCATTCATTGTCCCTGAGTGCGTGGCTCCATATGGAGTTCGTGGTGTGAATTCCGCTTGTTGTTGTTGTTGTTGTTGTTGTTGTTGTTGCTGTTGTTGTTGTTGCTGTTGTTGTTGTTGTTGTTGGTGCTGTTGTTGTTGTTGTTGTTGTAGTTGTTGCTTTTGTTGTTGTTGTTGTTGTTGTTGCTGGTGCCGTTGCTGTTGTTGTTGTTGATGATGTTGTGATCGTTGTTGTCGTTGGTGTCGTTGTTGTTGTTGTTGCTGTTGTTAGTGGTGTTGTTGTTGATGTTGCTGTTGGTGTTGTTGTCGTTGCTGTTACTGTTGGTGTTGTTACTGTTGTTGGTGTTGTTGTTGTTGTTGTTGTTGGTGTTGTTGTGGTTGTTTGGTTGTTGTTTTTTTTTTTTGTTGTTGTTCATGTTGTTGTTGGTGGTGGTGTTGTTGTTGTTGTCGTCGTCGTCCCACCCGTGACCCACCCGCGACCCACCCCGCGACCCGCCCCGCGACCCACCTCACGCCCCACCCCGCGCCCCACCCCGCGACCCACCCGCGACCCAACCCACGACCCACTTGCGCCCCACCCCGCGACCCACCCACGACCCACCCGCGACCCGCTCGCGACCCATCCCGCGACCCGCGAACCACCCCGCGACCCATCCGCGACCCATCAGCGACTCACCCGCGACTCACCCCGCGACCCACCCGCGGCCCACCCCGCGACCCACCCGCGACCCACCCCGCGACCCACCCTCAATGGAGGAAAAACCATCCAGACTGGGTTTCAAGAGAAACCTTGGACCTTGAGCCAAAATGGCTACGGAGGGGGGCTCTCTGGGGCTGCGTTGGCGCCCCCGTGGGGTTCTGTGGGGGCCCCTGGGTATGTTTTGGGGGGCGATTTGGGGCGATTTGGTGGGCGATTTCGCTCACCCCGAACTGGGGCGGCCGCCAGGCCTATTCCTCGATACGTGGGCGCCTCCCGGCGCTGGGAGGCGCTGGGAAAGTCAGCTATGTGAGCTGACTCTCTACCCCATACCCTTTGCTGCCCTCCTTTCGTTGCCCCCGAGTTGCACCATTTTCGGCTTCCTGGGGCTCTCTTGGGCCTTCTGGGGGCTATCTTGGGCCGCCGCGGGGCTCTCTGGGGCCGTGTCGGTGCCCTCGTGGGGTTCT